CAACAACAAATCCTTCACATGGACTGTCCATTTCATGCATATTGGGCCCCTGAGGATGTCTTCAGATGGAATAGGCTTTGTTTCCAGGAAAGGAGCACCAAGAGGTTTCAATACAGCATATTGGGACAGTTCACCTTTGGGATGATTGTCAATACAAAATCTAAGAAGTGAAGAAGATAGGTTTCTTGAAATGGCAGTGTCAGTGTGAACATTCTACTGGATAGTCGGTGATGGTGGTTCATCCATGATCTGGAGATCTAACTTGTAAAATGTCTGCAACATATGTAGACCCCTAAAGTCTCCAACATGGTTCTTAGATTCTCTAGTTAAAAGGGGGAGGACAGTCTGCTAGGTAGGTAGAATTTGCTGGTACTTGGTATAAAGGCTAATTATCATTTAGACCTAATCTAGCATTAAAATCCCCCGCTATGACAATATGGGCAGTTGGAAAGCACAGCTGAAGATTGATAATGTAAAGTTCTGCTTTGACAAGATTTCTGCAATGCAGAGTTGAGTGATGTTGGGCAGTATATAAAAATTAATGAGGAGCAATTTCTCATGAGAAAAGTTAAGAACGGCTGCTTGTGCAAAGTTCTCAAATGAATCTAATGAAATGGTCTTAGTATTGAGGGCAATTGAAATATGAATGCTCAAGCCAGCTCAATGACTCCCTCATCCAAAACCAGGGGTTGCTGGGAGGGACAGGGATTTGTATCCCTCAATAAACAAATTGGTGGCTGACCAAATCTCTTGAAGCAAAATAGTGTTGAGTTGGGACATATAGCTTGTGAAAGCAGGGCCTCCAGTCTAACTTCCCATCCAGCAATGTTCCAGGAAAGCAACAACAGAGATCCTGGTAGAATTCTAAGTCCGCTGGATCTTTCAGGGGAAGACAGGGACACAAAGTTTGTGTCTGACCTTGAGGCGGAGGGCAGCTATTTTGTCATCATCAGTGGAATCTGTCCTTGAAGAGGCATCGAATTCTTCTGGGGCCTTGCACTTTAGTAGTTTGTCCGTACAGCCAGGTGCGCATAGTTCAGTGAAATCAAAAAAGTGGGGATCACATGCTAGGGTTGTTCCTGGAGCAATAGAGGGACAGCCAGCATTCATTTCCGGCTGAGAGGCAGAATATGGGTGCTTTGGGTCATAAGAGCTTACTGTGTCATCCTGTGAATCAGCAATCTGAAGATATGTAAGTTCATGCCAAATCAGGGTGTTGTTGACATTTAAATGGGGCACAGTACAAGGGGGGCTAGTTTTAGCAGAGAGCCCCAAATGGGTATCTGCTGAGACTTTGGCGTATGGTCTGTGGGGCAAGAGTCTGATGGTAAACAACTGTTGAATGGAGCAGGAAGGTCTGACTTAGAAGACTGAGACTTCCTGCCTGTGTCTGGCTCTTGGGGTGTCAAGTCAATGAGAAAAGAGGAGTGTCTCTTCACTTCCACGAATGAAGGAACAGAGTGAGCCACAGCATAGGACGTAGCAGGGTCAGATTCATCAGTAACATCAAACGTTACTAGTGGGCTGTTTACACCTCCTCTTTTTTCTACTAGGGACAGCTGAAACTTTGTTTATGTGAGACTGAGGCACAGTCGGTTGAGTCTCTCTGCCAGAGACCACGGCAAAAGTTTTAAGTGTCCCTTGTGAGGATATGGCAAATGTCAAAGAGTTTTGGACTTCATTTAAGCTGGAAACAAGTCCATTCTTGGATATGGAGGAAGGGAGTAACTCATCTGTCTTCTGAGTCAGAGAAGAGTGCCTGATTGCAGCTGGCTTTGATTCTGGCTGATCAGTCCTCCTTAACAGTTGCAGAGAGTCAGCGTTGAAGTGTTGTGAGTTGGCATTTTTACCAACTCCCCCGGATGGAGGCTGAATCTTGAGCTCTAATAGTGGAAGAATAAAGGCATCTTTAAAAACTCTAATTGGGATTATTTCAAATTTGTTCAGAAAGTCCTTCATTCTGATTAACATGAAACGATATAGAATTAAAGGTAAACACCAATTTAATATATTTGGCTGGAGAGGGGAGCCAGTCCAAATCCAGTAAGTCACAATGGCGCACCGGTCAGCGAAGAATCTGAGAGAGAAGGTGTTACAGGTCTCTTCATCCACTACATGCCGGAATTAAATTGGTTATTAGCAATCAAAATCAAAAGCATGAGTCTGTGCCGTTGTAAGGAACATAGGTTGCTTGAGCTGGTAGAAGTGGAAGTCTTAATGTCAGAGGATTCATCCACAGCAGCCCTGCTTTTCTGCTCCCCCGAACATCTTTATATAGCGGGATCTTAGTGCTATCAGATGGCCAGTCTTTACGTGACCAACTTCTCTGGCCCAAGATATACTAGTCCAGGAGACGTTTTAGCTTATTTGTTGTTAGCTGTCAGCAGCTGGTCATAGACTGAGATTACAGTCTGAGCTGTTAAGAAGCAGCTCTTAGCTAGCAGTTCCACATCAGTTTCAGTGGAGGGGTTCAGATCATTTTTCCTCCCTGGTCTCAAATTGCCCTCTTTCCTCACGGAGTCTGTTCCTCATGTTCCCAATCTAACAAGGTGATGGATGGCAAAACATAAGGATTTGATTTACCTACAGAAGCACTGATGGGTAGAAATTTCTCAGCTGTAAGTTTGATTAGGATCAGTGATCTTTCTTAGTCCAGAGAGTTTTGGTTTTGGGATGTTGATGTATCTGCCTTCTTTTTATCTGTTATTGGTTTTTTGGGGAAATCTGTTGTTAGAGCTGTTCCCCGTCTGACAGCCGCTGGCAGGGAAGTTTGGATTTGAACAGTAATTAACAAACAGATAACCCACTGTTTATCTTCTGCAGTGAGTTCAATAGAACTATCTGAAGGAATTGCTGGAGCCCTTACAGGATATACTGTCACTTTGGCATCTTGCCCCACTCTCGGAGGGAGGTGACCTTTGGTGGTCTTGCTAAAATCCCAGCTATACTGCTCTGACCTCAGACAAAGTTTTGCCCAAAACTAATTCATTCCAATCTCTTGATGATTCTGCTAAAAGTGGGCTTCCATTTCTGTCGCTTGATATTTCAGCAGGAAAATGAAAAAGATTCAGCCATTGTGACATCCTGTTGCACTCACTAGCCCTCGGTCCCATAGAAGAACCCAAGGGAGCAACAGAGACATTTGCAGAACAGAAGGAAGCACTGTCTGTTAGGCAGAGATGGCTAGGGTTCCTCCTTTCCCCGGGCAAAACCACCACTGCTGTAGCACACGTTCTCCCTCGGCTTTACAAAGTGGCCATGGGTCTCTTCAAATAAATACATAGCCTTGCATGCTTAGAGCAGTTGCAGTCTCTTGAAAGAGTTAGAGACCTCTGTTCTGGAACTTCCTGGAATGACCATGTAATTTTACCTTTTAAGGATTGAAAGACGAAGCTATGAATTAAGCTCTTCTCTCTGTTTTGTAGTTTTCCTGCTGTGGAGGAGATGAATTCAGAGACTGGCATGTGAACCCATATCATTCATGCAACGGCAGTGGCCCTCTGGCCTGCGGAGTACCCTACACGTGCTGTGTCAGGAAGGTGAGGGGAGAGGTTTGAACAGGTATCTTCCAGAAGGAGGGAGGGTGGCTCGATGCTCCTTGCATTGGTATCCCTTTGGATTGCTCCTTGGCAGGGATCACAGTCTCCTTCTGTTCAAATGGCATGTGGTTTTGTGATGTGCTTCTCTTCAGGTCCCAACTCAGGTTCAGTTGCTACAGCCTTCCTCACCTAGTGCACCTTCCACATGTACGGAGTTCAGCTTCTAACGAAACAGTTTAGGGAGTTGAAGGACATAGATCTGTAAGGTGTCCAGGTCAGAGAAGGCTGAATTTAAAATCCTGCAAAAAAAACAGCACATTTGCCGTGGTGCAGGAGAGGACCAGATCCCCACACTTTTCCCAGAAAGTGTACATCCCCTATAAAAGCTCTTGAGAATTCACCTGATAGGAACATCCATAGAACCCTAGAGATGGAAGAGCCTGTTGAAGCCATCAGATCCAGCTCTCTGGTGGGTGAAGGAACCCAAATTCAAGCATTCCAGGCAGATGTTCAGACTTCTCCTTGAACACCTCCAGCAAAGGGGAGCCCGTCATCTCTCTGGGCCATTGGTCTCACTGTCAAACTGCTCTCACTGTTAGAAGAATAAACTGTCACACTTCCTTCACTGTCTGAAGAATAAGCCTCCTAACACTGTGATATGCTGTACCTTTGTCAGAACAGGTCCAGTGTACTGACTGGATGTGGATTTACCTGCCACCACCGATTAGCACTGGAGACAAGAATTACACCCATTAAGCCAACTAACATGAACTTCACCTGATACACGTAAAATCTAAAGTTCTTCATTGCTGTTAAAGTGCCTCCTCTTCCCTCCTCTCCCCCTATTAGTTTATATTCTTAGTTCAGGACTCTTATCACTGGTAAGTGTGATTAGATTTAAATGGAAACGTATATAGCAAAGATCATCGGTATTTAAATACGATAATCTCTAAAGTCTTGCTTGTTCCTATAAGACAGGTAAAAAATAAGGCATTTAGGGGTGTAATCTAAAAGCCAGAAATTTCATAGAATCATGAAATCATAGGATCCTGGGTTGGAAGGAACCTTGGGGTCTTCTGGTCCAACTTCCTTCCCCAGGCAGGAACCCTCCTACCATCGCAGAAAAATGGCCATCCAAACTTGCTTGAATACCTCCAGAGATGGAGCCCCCATGGCTCCAGTGGGCAGCCCTTGTTGAACAGCTCTCACAGTCAGGAAATTCCTCCTTATTTCAAGTTTGGATCTCCCTCTGCAAAGCTTCCATCCATTGGTTCTTGTCCTATCCTCAGGAACTATGGAGAATAAATCCAACCATCTTCCCTGTGACAGTCCTTTGAGTATTGGAAGACTGTGACCATGACTCCCCGCAGCCTTCTTTCCCTTTGGCTAAGAAAACGCCCAGTTCTTCTGACTGTTCTCCATAGGACTCAGCCTCCAGGCCCCTTGCCATCTTCGCTGCTCTTCTCTGCACTCTTTCCATTCTTCTTGCACTGCATTGTGGCAACCAGAACTGGACACGGTATTCCACATGCCATCTGATCAGTACAGTGTAGAGCAGTACTATAACTTCCTATGATCTTGACTGGTGTCTACTTCTGTTGATGCAGCCCAAAACTGCATTGGTTCTTTTAGCAGCTGCAGCACACTGCTGGCTCATGTTTAATTTGTGGTCTACCAGGGCATCCAGGTCCTTCTAACAAGTACTGCTGCCAAGCTAAGTACCACCTATCTTGTACCTGTGGATCTGTTTTTTCTTTCCTAACTGCAGAAGCTTACACATCTCACCACCAAATTGTGTATTGTTGGTATTGTTTGTGCTTGGGCCTTAATTGTCTGGCTATCTTCACTATGCAGTATGGTGAATTCTAGGATGACATAGTCACTCTCTCCCAAGGTTCCTTCCTCAACTATTTCTTCCCTGTTAGAAAGTACCAAGTCCAATATAGCCAATTCTTTAGTCCCCTCCTTCACTTTTTGGATAATGAAATTGTCTGCACGACATGTCAAGAGCCTGTTGGATCTCTTATTTTCCACAGAGTTTGATTTGATTCCAGTTGATTTTGGAGTAGTTGAAATCCTCTATTACCACAATGGTGTGTTTCCTAGATACCTTGGCTGATTTGTGAAGATTTCATCTATACCTTCTGCTTGGTAGAGTGGTCTAAGGTACACACCACAAAAGTCTCATTATTGCTTTTTTTTCCCCCCCTTAATATTCATCCAGATCCAGTTTACATTTATCTTTCATCGATGGTCTTCAGCAGGGTTTCAGCTGTAATTTTTCAGAGAGTAGGCGCAATTGCACAGATGTTATATTTGGCCCATAGCTGACATCACTGATCTAAAAGCTAAGCAGGGTCAGCCCTGGTTAGTACATGAATGGGAAATCCCCAGGAAATCTCTTTCCTAGACTGAGAAGGTGAAAAAACAGGAAACCTCTTTCATATTGTTGCCAATATGGATAAATCTATGTGGTCATCAAGAGTCAGGCTCAATTCATACCAACTGACCATTTGTATTTGGATATATGTGAATATGCTAAAACCTTGAAAGATCTCATACAAGGCTACTTACACATATTTAAATAGTTTTCTAATTTAGAGAGAGAAAAGGGGCACCATCCATGTTGCCAACCCCAGGCTAAGCCTTAGTACCATTGACGATTAGAGCAGGCATGATTAAAATGGAGTATCCATTGGTGTCTTAATTAGGATTCACATCATCTCAGACAGCATGTTCAGCAGTCTTAAAAATTAATTGAGAGAAGCCTCTGCTTGCAAGAGGGAAGGCCACACAGCATGCTCCTGGGAAATGTTAAGGTTCAAAGTCTTTAGTTACACGCTGCTGATGTTGCTTTGCAGAAACAAAAGGCGCTCTCCCTATTCTGAGTCTCAGAAGAGAGACGGTCCACTCTGGACATTAAGAGTCCTTTCAGTGTAAAATCTGGCAGGGTTAGTTGACTCACCAGGGCAAGCTTTCTGGGCTGAGTCCAAATATTGCAACATAAAGCACAGCATTCTGAAGAAGACATGTTTTAGTGCAACATGTCTTCAGGCTTGGCAAGATGGTTCATTTGTTGCTGCTTTACTTGTGCCAATGAGCCTTCTCTGAGCGACTGCCACCAAGCGATCTTAACATTTTGCCATAGCCAATATACTCTACAGTGGAATTTTTCAACTGTTGGAGAAGCATCCCATTAGAAGTTGATTCTTTCTACTGTCTGTAGTGGAACAAATAGTAACATGACTCTAGGTTGTTTTTTTTTTAATTCTTAGTTCTGAACTTATCTGGAGAGACAATGAAATACACACAAGCAGATTAATTAACTGTCCTTTTGCTTCTCCGTGACTCATAAACTTTCAGGTATGTCTTCTTTGGTCAGTGTGGTTAATATCTCTGCACAACATCTGGAATTTACAGCATGTCATAGTAAAAACATAGCAGCCTTGCTGGATGGTTCCTCTGGGCCAGCCATCTGGGTCACACAAGGGCCAGCCTGGTGCATCTGAGAAATTTAAGAGCATTGTCCCTTTCCACTATTGCTCTCCATACTGATATTTCAGCAGGTTCTGCTTCCTGAGGTAGCAAACAGCCATCAAGACTAACGACTGTCTTCCATTAATTTGCCCCATCTCCTTTTAAATCTGTCTAAGTTAGATGTCATCACTACATATGGTGGCAGTGAGCCACAGTTTTAACTGTGTTGTGTAAAGAAGCACGTTCTTTTTTCAGGCTGAAATTCCCACATTTTGTTTTATTGAGTGAACCTACCTTCTTACACCATGAGAGCTATTTTTATTCACATTTTTCAGCCCATTTGCTAGTGCAAAGTCAAAGCTAGACTGCTTTTTCTGATGGCTGATGTTGGCATAAATGTTAAAATTCATTTGTCCAAGAAAACCTGCAAATTCCTTTGGCAGGTACTCTTGGAAAATCAGTCTGTCTAATGCAAGAGGCAACTGGTAGAGTTTGTTCCAAACTAACTGAACTCTGCTCACATTCAAACTGATGGGACTCAATTTGTGCCACTGAATTCAGTGAAAGCTAATTTTATTTAATCTCAGTCTGTAATTTAATTTAATCCAATCTGTATGCTTTTGTCACCAAATCAGCCCATTCCCATGGCCTCTGTTCAAATCCTCTCCCATCAGACAGAGCATAGCTGTTTTTTTATGAAAAGGAAACGGCTTTTGAGATGCAAGGCACTCTTCACTGAGGAAAGATTTAGGATAAATACAAAATTCTTTTGTTTCATCCAAAAAGTTTCATCCAAAGTCTAAAGTTTAATTGTTGTTTAGGTTAACTGATATGACTGATATCAATGTAAGGTATATCATATAGTAACATTATAGGAACAGCATTATTTTAAAAAACTGAGTGCCATATTAAAAGCTTTTTAATATGAATGCAACTTAAAGCATGTGAATTGGTCCTCTTTTACAGCTTCCATATAGACAATGCCTCAATAAAGTAGAAATAATTTTTCCAAAAAAGGAACTAGCTTTTTACTGCTAACCTCGTATGCCCTGGGTCTGAGGTGTCCCTGAAGACATGGGAATACTTCCCCATCCTCTGCATTTTTCTTCTCTTTTATAGCTCAAACTGTCTGCTCAAAATTCACTTCGTTTGTTAGCAGTTGCATGTGGCTGCAAATATCAGTCTTTTCTCACCAGTATTCATCTTGTGCATCCGAATGATAAATGGATGTGGCCCTGCCTCTGTCTGACATTCCTTGTGACCTTGTCAGAATGATCTTCAAATCCGTTGCATGCTGTGCTCCCAAGAATCGCCTTGGTGGCATTTTGGCATAGAATGGAAACGCCACAGGCTCATGCTTAAGATCGAGTCCTGAGGAGGAGATTTGCAGTGGCAAGAACTTTCACAATCAAGCTTTTCAAAAGGTGCAGTTTGTCACCTCTGTGTGGGAACTGCAGAGCTCCGCTGCTGCCTTTAAACTGCTTGGGGTCTTTGTTTCTAACATTGGAAGGGCTGTGGGGGGT